GAGAATCTGGTAAGGCCAGTTCTCTACGCACTTATGAACCGAGACGTGTTCATGGCTGAAACTAACAAAACAATGAGAACCAAAAACAGTTCAAGGGTTGATTGTGTGACTTATGTTGTCTAGGTATACACCAAAGCTCGACGGTTCAAAGATATCAAATCTACCGATTGACCAAGTATATCCGATATATGTTCAATATGGAAAGTTCAAAGGGAAACCCATTTATTCAGAGGCAATCAATCCTTAATTACGAATCACACAATTTTTCATGCATATGTTTTAACAATAGCCATTCCCTATTCATGTGGGGGATTGTTGGGTTTTAAAGGTGTGAACAGGAAATGAAGGGTTGTGACTCTCCTAAAAGAGTTGTGACTATGCCGAAGGGTTGTGAACTTTTATGAAAGGTTGTGTCCTTTCTAAAGGATTGTGACCGTTTGAAAGGTTATGCCTTTACCAAAGTGTTGTGACCTTTCTGAAAGGTTGTCTTCTTTCCAAAGGGTTGTGACCTTTACCCTTTGTTGGCTATAAATAGAGAGGTTTTCTCTCATTTTTCTGCATCGAATTCTTCCCTTCTTTTGCATACATTTCTTACAAAACAAAATCGATCGATCGTGTCTGTGTGGGTGATTCGTTGCTGTCATTTTGAGTTCGTTGAAATTATCGAAGTTTGAGGTACCGCTACTTCTTTAATGGTTAATCCGTTTTATCTTGGGAGGAATTAATCTGCAACCTCGGGTACTTGAGGGGATTAAATTTCTTAAGGACACACAATGGGTTCTGTGGACTCGGATAGTTCTTTGTGTTTTTCTTTTCATCTTTTATTATTTCTGGTTTGCTAATCTGAATACATGAGATAACAAGGAGTAGATCTATAGCAGTAGTAGTATAAATATGGGTTCATTTGAATCTGTAATTTTTACTCTAAACATTGAAATTGTTGGATATATTGAACCGTGAACTCAAAACTCATACAAGCTAAGCTATGATGAGTTTAGTGGTCAAAATCTGAGCGATGAAATCACAAAGTTAAAATTTTCAAATCTGTCACGTTAGTTGGACTCCCAAAGCAAATATAGAATATTGAATAAATGAGATATCAAAAAAACAAAAACGAACTCCACTTTATTAGTTGAAATCTCAAAACTAATACTGAATAGTACTGAGTAAATGAGAATTCGAAAAAAATAAAAACAAAGAAGAATATATTTTTGATTGATATGATAGTGCTATAAATATCAGTAAATAGCACAAAGTTCTTTGAATACTATATATACACACACGCATCGATCACAAAACAAATAATGAGTGGACCATAGATATTTTAATTTACCATGTGGATATATGAAGCAAATGAATGATCGTTACTCATGATATAAACTTACTGTATCTACTCTTAATGATCACCAACACAAGCTATACCTAGATCAATATTACAAAATATTAGAAAATACTCATCTCGTCAATTCTTTTAATGATCACCAACACAAGCTATACCTATATCAATATTGTAAAATATTACAGAATATTCGTTTCGTCGATTCTTCCTCTTTCATTTATCTTAGACATATAGTGAGTGAGTGAAAAAATAAATAAAAATTAGACTTTATAATTGTGTGAAAATATTGAAGTAGAGTGGGTAAGGAGACCCATGTGAGAGAGAAATAATAAATGGTGGAGAGGAGATTAAAGTAGATTTTGTATATGTGAATATTATCTACCCCACCATGTGATAAGTGGGTCCAATAATGCCATTTAGATCAATCATCATCAATAACCCAAAAAATGAACAATACCTTTATACGTGTCATTCTACTATTGTACTAAATTATCTACTCACATTTTATAAACCACTCAAATTTCGACGCGTGTGTCTTATTATCAAAGACGTGTGTCTGATTGATCAAATATAACCGAATTCATTAAGTCATTTTTTCTAAACTTGTTCATGCATGATGTTGTTTGGAAATATGTGATTACTTATCACATACTAACTTCTTTTTTTTGTAAATAGTGTTTTAGTTTGTTGTCACAACTCAACTAATTGTCAAATTTTAGTTAGTTTCCTAGGGCTAGTGGTGCCCAATTTGAAATTCTTTCGATTATGGACTATAAGTCCAAAAACTTGGAAACTAAAAGTGTGATTCTAGTTGGTGAACATACAATATTAACTTTTTGTCGGTGAATATACCACAAATTATAGAAATTACAGTTGAAAAATAAAGTGACAAATAAAAAAATAAATATTCAGGCTGAGGCGCGAATATCTCGGTCTCCAGCTTTAATGAGATTCAAGTCAACTGCACGCAGGGGCGGACCCACGTGGTATCCAGGGGTTCACTCGAACCCCCTCGGAAAAAAATTACATGCTATATATAAGATAAATTTTTTGTATTTCTGTAGATATATATATTTTGAACCCCATCAATAACAAAGAGAAACTGATGGCGCAATGACAAGTATCCTTGAAATTAAGCTGTACATCACTGTATCGAACACTTTTTTTTTTCTTTTTCAGTTTCAGTTTTTTTTAGTTTTTTTTTTTTAATTTTCAGTTCTATTTTTTTGTAGTTTTTTGTTTACTTTAAAAAATGTGTTAAAAGTTTGGTTTTAAACCCAAAAGAATTCAAGGTTTCAATTTCTAATGGCTTATTTACACGTTTATACTTTTATTTTAGAACACTCTGAACGAAAATTCTGAGTCCGCCATTGACTGCACGTATAATCTATACCAATTCCACAATATCTCTCTCTTGACATGTCCCTTAATTTATAAAATTATGATCACTATACATAGTATTATACTCTTTTTATTTCAAAATATTCATTATATTTCGCTTCTCGAGAGTTTAATTTCTGAAAGAAGAAAATATCACTCATATATAATAACATTAATCAGAATGTTTAACCATGCCATTACAATAAAGTACATCAATTGAAGAATCACAAAAACAGAAAACCAAACATAGTGAAAATTAAATGAAAAACACTTAGTTTTTAAGGGGTAATGTACACAGTGAAGTGCGTAATTGTTTCAAGACCATCAGTTGTATGTTGATCAGCATGAGGCATAGTCTCAATTGTTGCATATCCTTTTGCATTTTCATATTTTCCAGTACCTCCAATGATTGCAATGTGTGAAATTGGCGTCGCGGTCCTATGGATTCCAAAAAAGCTAATAGTGTCATCAACTTCATGTCCATGTTCACCATGGAACAGAGTTGTTAATGCTAGTGTATGGCTCGTCCCATCGGACGAGCTTGTTAGGTAAAACCCCTGTGCTCTACCAAGAATTGATGATCCCAATTCATGTCCTTCTGATATTTCGTTGTCCACAACAGTTATGGACCCAAACATGAGTTGTTGAAGGGTAATACCACTAGGAAGTTGCCCTGCTGTGACAAATGGTTGGTTATCACCGGTATTGACAATGTCGTTGTTGCCTGTGTTTTGTAGGACCGTGTTGGGCTGTTGTTGTCCGTTTAGGCCTGCTAGGAAAGGGTAGTTGTTGTTGTTGACAATGTCGTTGATGTTGTTGAGGGGAACTCCACCGTCTAATGGGAAGACGTTGTTGTTAGCCTTGGTGAAAGGTAAGTTGTTAACGTCAGTGCTAGCTACGATCCCTGTGACTACTCTCCCCGAAGGGTGTGTACCACCAAGGATGTCATGCATGAAGAATGAAAATTTAGAGTGGTCCAAAGCCACTGTGGCACCAGATGCTGTTGTAGCTCCTGGTGCCACATTGGTAACAGGTGCTGTTGCTCCAGTGTCTGCTGCCACTGGAGCAGCAGGGGCTATAGGTGCTGCTGCTCCAGTGTCTGTTGCTACTGGAGCAGCAGGGGCTGCTGCTCCAGTGTTTGTTGCCACTGGAGCAGCAGGAGCTACATCAGGCTCAGGTTCAGCTGGTAAATCAGCTGAAGGAGCGATTGGAACAGTAGGGGCTGGCTCAGGAGAATCATCATCTATAGGTGCTACGTTCGAATCAGGAGTGGTGACTGTGGCTGGAAAGTGGCCACTTGGCAATGAGGATACTGGGGCAACCACCACGGGAGCCACAACGGGTTCATCTGAACTCACTTCGTCAAGAATTCTTGCTGAATTAGCATAGTCAAATGAGAGGGCTAATAGCAAAATGCAAAAAGTGGCTTTGAAGGTTTTAGACCAAAATTGAGTAAACTTGACCATTTTTTTTTTCTTGTTGCTATGATGATTGATGAGATGAAGCAAATTAAGAATTAATTAGCAGAATGTTTTGTTGATGAGAAAAGAGTTTAGGCTAATTGAGTATAAATAGGTTTATTTCCTATTAAGTGGAGCTGATGAAATGGTTTAGTTGCAAAACACAAAATTAATTTAAAAAGTTTAAAGGCATTAGTTTTGTTGAACCTACCCTGTTAATGTTTTTAATTGATCATAGAATACTTATAAAATCCCGAGGAATTTGTATTAGTGTAAGAAAATGTTTCAATTGCTAGTAAAGAAGGGACCAGTAATTGGAAAAAAATAATCAACCTGTTCTCAGATGTTTATATCAAATCATATTGTACTTTATGATAATTAATTATTAATTTAAGTGATAAATACATTTATTTGATGTAAATATTGAGTACCAGTATGTTTAATAGGAGTAATATGAAAAGGTACAAGTACTGGTTAGTATGAGTTGGTCCAGGCTTGGAGTTGTTAATGGCTTAATGAAGTGGTTTACTTGTGGATTTGCCTAACAAATACACAATAATGAATCTTATATTAGTTAATCATTGTCTCTAAAAGAAGCATTTTTAATTCAAAGAAATATTTAATGTAAGTGTATGAATTTGGATTTTTCATAATTCAAAGAAACATTTATCTGACTTTTATCTTCCATGTGTGCTTCTTAAATCTTTTGACATATGTCATCATTTTAAATTTTGTACAATTCCGTTACGTTACTTTAGTAAAAATTATGATCATTAAAAAATAAATAATATAGTGTGTACGTAGTTTATTAAATTATCTTTATTTAATAAATGTCTTTTGAAAATTTGAACACTTTTAAGTAGATTGAGTATAACTTGTAAGTATATAATTGAAAAAAAACATATAGTAATTTTTACCATAAATTTCTAAAGTGCCCAAAATTAAACACTTATTTTAAAACGAAGAAATAACATAACACACATCCATCTTAGCATCTACGGCACTCATCTTGCTTATGTGTTGAATTTTAACAACCTATCATTTATTCTCACATAACATTATTGGTTTTATAATTGTTCTATTAAGACTCATATTTTACATTTTGGTATATATATGTGTAACACTAACATTTTAATCTACCATTATATCCGCATAGAATAACTAGCATAAAAGTCAATTTAGATACCACAATCCCATCTAATTTCACCTCACCTTCACTATTTTTATACTAATTTATTTCTCTACAATATTTCTTAGTGTAATTAAATAATTTAATAAGCAAAGCTACTCCAATCTCTTCAAGACATTTAGAACCCGTTTGGATTGACTTAAAAAAATACTAGCTTTTAAATCAAAAATAAAAAGTGAAACTAAAATGACTTTTAAGTCAAAAAATAAAAAGTAGGAAGAGACCTACTTTTGGTTTTTAACTTATTTTAGATTATTTTTAACTTGTCAAACACTTTCTAATTTATTTTAAGTCATTTTTGACCTATTTTAAGTTATTTTTATATTTGCCAAACTTCTACGGATAAAGAATTGACTTAAAAGTAGGTTTGACCAACTTTTAAGTCAATCCAAATACCATCTTACAAATCTTTATGAGAATATCATCTGTACCAACATCTTTTTTCATGACATATTTTACCTCTACTAACTTATTTTCTATCAAATTATAACTAAAATTTCTATTATGCTCATTTATATGGAAATTCAAAAAATTATTCCCATAATTCGAGTTAAACAATTTAATACGAGCAAAAGTTAAAAAGGAAACAAAGAAAATATTTTTTAAAACATAAATAGTCATCCACAAAATAAAAATCGACAAATAAAATAATCAACACATAAAACATATACATATTAGCTAACAATCGACAAACATAAATATTTTTAGTCGAACGGTCAAATATATAAAATTTTCGCGCTTTTCGTGGACCGACCGGTTCCATCTCTCACGAACCACCTCTTGTCAACCCGGCCCAAAATAAAAATCGGAGCTCCATTTTTTACAACCCTCGCCTAGGGTTTAGCCAAAAAAAATTCATTTCTGAATCTCACTTCTCCTTTCTTCTTCTTCTTCCTCAAAACCCTAAATCTCACAAACTAGGGTTTTAGCAGTATGTATCTCTACAGTCTCACTCTCCAGCAACCCACCGGCGTAATCTGTGCTATCAACGGCAACTTTTCCGGCGGAAAAGTACAAGAAATCGTCGTCGCTCGTGGAAAAGTCCTTGACCTCCTACGTCCCGATGATAATGGTAAGCTTCAAACTCTATTATCTGTTGAAATTTTCGGGGCTATACGTTCCTTAGCACAATTTCGGTTAACCGGTGCTCAAAAGGATTACATTGTAGTTGGGTCGGATTCAGGTAGGATAGTGATATTGGAGTATAATAAAGAGAAGAACTGTTTTGATAAAGTACATCAGGAGACTTTTGGTAAATCGGGTTGTAGGAGGATAGTTCCAGGTCAGTATTTGGCTATTGACCCGAAAGGTAGGGCTGTGATGATTGGCGCTTGTGAGAAGCAGAAGCTTGTGTATGTTTTGAATAGGGATACTGCAGCTAGGTTAACAATTTCGTCACCTTTAGAAGCTCATAAGAGCCATACGATTACGTTTTCGATATGTGGGGTTGACTGTGGATTTGATAACCCGATATTTGCTGCTATTGAATTGGATTATTCGGAGGCAGATCAGGATCCGACAGGCCAAGCTGCAAATGAGGCTCAAAAGCATTTGACATTTTATGAATTAGATTTAGGACTTAATCATGTTTCGAGGAAGTGGTCTGAACAAGTCGATAATGGTGCTAATTTACTTGTTACTGTTCCTGGAGGTGGGGATGGTCCAAGTGGTGTGCTTGTTTGTGCGGAGAATTTTGTGATATATAAGAATCAGGGACACCCTGATGTTAGGGCTGTTATTCCCAGGAGGGTAGATTTACCAGCAGAACGTGGAGTTTTGATTGTTTCGGCTGCTATGCATAAGCAGAAGACAATGTTTTTCTTTCTTTTGCAAACTGAATATGGAGATATCTTTAAGGTGACATTGGACCACGACAATGACAGGGTTAAGGAGTTAAAGATCAAGTATTTTGATACAATTCCGGTCACTTCTTCTCTGTGTGTGTTGAAGTCAGGGTTCCTCTTTGCTTCGTCAGAGTTTGGGAATCATGCGTTGTATCAGTTTCAGGCTATAGGAGATGATCCAGATGTTGAAGCTTCATCATCGACGTTGATGGAAACTGAAGAAGGCTTTCAACCTGTATTTTTCCAGCCAAGAAAGCTAAAGAATCTTGTTAGGATTGATCAGATTGAGAGCTTGATGCCAATCATGGACATGAAAATCGTAAATCTTTTTGAGGAAGAAACTCCACAAATATTTTCACTTTGTGGGAGGGGTCCTCGGTCTTCGTTGCGCATACTTAGGCCAGGTTTAGCTGTTAGTGAAATGGCTGTGTCACAACTTCCTGGTGTTCCAAGTGCTGTCTGGACTGTGAAAAAGAATGTTAATGATGAGTTTGATGCCTACATTGTTGTCTCTTTTGCAAATGCAACTCTTGTACTTTCTATTGGTGAGACAGTTGAAGAAGTTAGTGACAGTGGGTTTCTTGATACTACTCCATCTCTTTCTGTTTCATTGATTGGTGATGATTCGTTAATGCAAGTTCATCCTAGTGGTATAAGGCATATTAGAGAAGATGGCCGTATTAATGAATGGAGAACTCCTGGAAAGAGAACTATTGTCAAGGTTGGATCTAATAGACTTCAAGTGGTAATTGCACTAAGTGGAGGGGAGCTTATATATTTTGAAGTTGATATGACTGGCCAGTTGATGGAAGTTGAGAAGCATGAGATGTCAGGTGATGTAGCTTGTCTGGACATTGCCCCTGTTCCTGAGGGAAGACAAAGGTCCCGTTTCCTTGCAGTTGGATCATATGATAACACTATCCGTATCTTGTCGTTGGACCCTGATGACTGTATGCAGGTTCTGAGCCTGCAAAGTGTATCTTCACCGCCAGAGTCTCTCCTTTTTCTAGAAGTTCAGGCCTCTGTTGGTGGAGAGGATGGTGCAGATCACCCTGCCAGCCTTTTTCTTAATGCTGGTTTACAAAATGGAGTTTTATTCAGGACTGTGGTGGATATGAATGGTGGGCAGCTTTCAGATGCACGTTCACGTTTCTTGGGGCTTAGAGCCCCTAAGCTCTTCTCCATTGTTGTGAGAGGACGGCGTGCTATGCTCTGCCTATCAAGTAGACCATGGCTAGGTTACATACACCAAGGGCAATTTCTTTTGACACCTTTATCATATGAGAGTCTTGAATTTGCAGCCTCGTTTTCATCCGATCAATGTGCAGAAGGTGTTGTAGCGGTTGCAGGGGATGCGTTGAGGGTCTTCACAATAGAGAGATTGGGCGAGACTTTCAATGAAACAGCTATACCCTTAAGGTATACACCAAGAAGGTTTGTTCTTCAACCCAAAAAGAAGATGGTGATAATGATTGAGAGTGACCAGGGAGCATATACTGCAGAAGAGCGTGAAGCTGCCAAAAAAGAGTGCTTTGAGGCAGCTGGGAATGGTGAAAATGGAAGTGCAGAACAAATGGAGAATGGTGAAGATGAGGATGGTAGTGATCCACTATCTGATGAACAATATGGTTATCCTAAGTCGGAGTCAGGAAGATGGGTTTCCTGCATCAGAGTCCTTGATCCAAGGACAACACAGACCACTTGTCTGCTAGAGCTTCAGGATAATGAGGCTGCATTTAGCATATGCACTGTTAATTTCCATGACAAGGAGCATGGAGCTCTGTTGGCTGTTGGTACTGCCAAGGGCCTCCAGTTTTGGCCCAAAAAATCGTTTGAAGCAGCATACATTCATATATACAAATTTAAAGAGGATGGGAAGGTCCTAGAGCTTTTGCATAAGACACAGGTAGATGGTGTGCCTCTTGCACTATGTCAGTTCCAAGGTAGACTGCTGGCTGGTATTGGGTCTGTCCTTAGGTTGTATGATTTGGGGAAGAAACGGCTGCTCCGAAAATGTGAGAACAAGCTATT